TTGTAGAATGCTGGTCAGCGGCCTATGCTCCATTGGGAGTAACAGGCGTAAGTCATAAATATAACTTATTTGGGTGGTGTAGTCTTTTATACTACAACAACGCGTTAGATCCCTTCAAAATGGCTAAGCATGCTCGAGCTGTTGCTCTACTATCATCCATTGTGTTCTTAGATTTATTCTATTAAATAAGCGTATATTAGCAAGTGGTAAAAGCTGATTAACTAACAAGTTGTCTCCTTATTTTATGATAGAGTAGTGTACTTTGGTAGAAGGAATTCGCTCCACCTTCATACTTACTGATACTCGTTTGTCTGAAGTTGATCTCGATTTGCTTTTCCGATGATTCTGACTGATTGACTTGGCTGGTTTTAAAAATGTAGACTTTTTACGTGAAAATAAAGTTTCATGGTATGTATGCCGACTAATTTTCACTGAGATTGTTCTGAAATGGATAGGTTGATCCTATCCTACCAAATATATTAACTGATATGGTGTTTATGGTAATCCCAACAGAAAAATTTAACTCCTGTGTATTTATATCGAGTAATAGCTCTTTATCATTTCATTTCATGGTGATGTAACATCCAAAAACAAAGTACACAAATAGTATTTTATTTATCAATAAAACTTGTTGTACGTGTTATGCCTTTGAGAACATGAATGTAATTGACAATCTCCACATCCTCATTGTAGATAAGGAGCACAAGTTTATTACTTTCATAAGTCAGCGCTGTGATTCACATGTCAATATATTGTGTGCGATTGGGGTACAGTCAAATGATGAGCTCGATGTCTGACAATGTATGGATTATTGGGAAAACATAAATTGTCAGTAATCTAAGTGTCTTCAACACTTTCTAAAAATTATCGTACTATCAGTCATCACTATTGCTTCCAAAACGTGATAATTTTACTCTTGAAAATGGAAAATGAGAATAAAATGTTTAAAACATATTTTGTGAATTCGTCAGACTTTTACAATGAGCAAATCATTAAAATATGAAATTACTATTTGAACTACTTAAAACGTTAAAAATAGTATACCTAAATAAAAACAATAATTTCAATGGTTGAGATCATGAGTCGATTGAAGCTAGACCACCATGGAAAACCTAGAAGCGCTGGAAGGCCGTTTCGTCCTGTTGTGGTACTCCTCACTAATGACTGGCTTCAAGAGGTATTTCCTGGAATTCTAGTGAGAAGCAGTGACCAGTGGATTCCAACCGGGTCTGTTGTGAGATAGTAACTCAGTGAAGATATTGGTGGATATGTCGCTCAATTTCGAGGCCGATAGATCGTGGGTTCGAATCTCTCGAGGCGTGGTCGTGGATTTGCACTGCTGAGGAGTCCCACAATAGGACGAAACGGCCGTACAGTGCTTCAAGGTATTCCATGGTGGTATAGCTCCAATTGACTCATGATCTCAACCACTGATATTACTATAATATCAACAAAACTCTTCTAATATGAAAAAGTTAATTGTTCTCTATTCGGATCACATTGGTTTAATACGCTAATGAATTTACAATTAATTGGTGATAAATTATTCTCGTAGGTATAAACTTACTGTAATGAGCACGAGATAGTGTTTATTCTTGGGGAAAGTCAGAACGATATTCTGCTTTGTATTTCTGCGGAAACTCAGAAAATTCCTCAAAAAAAGCCCTAATAAGCCACGAAACATATTTTTTAAATCAGCATTCAATAGAAGTTTCTCAGAACGATCTAGAAAGTAAAATGTCACATTTCTGATTGTATGATTACCTATCCTGCTAATATGTTTAGAAGGGCTTTATGACTTTTCACAAGCCCAAAGCTATCTGTAATTCTATAAATATGAAAATTTAGACTATCAACTTCCAACGTCTTTTCCTAATAGGTATCATTACCAAGGTTTGATTTGATTTGTCTTTTCCTAATTTCCACTTCACACAAAAACTGCTTTGTTCTCTACCACAGTACACTGTGTTGATCATGGTATCCGGTCAACAGACATTGAGTATCTTGTGTAGACAATTGTTTATAAATACTTGTACTAATTCCATGATGATTGTGGTAGTTCTCGAAGTTTCATCTGCATATAGTAGAAGTGTGTTGACGTTCGTATTGAAGATTGTGATTTTGATGTTGACCTGCATACGATTGTTTTGAGTTCCAAAATAAAACAAGACGCAGATACAGAATTCCATAACCTATGATTAACAGTACAATATTAACACAAGATTTATTTTACTATTTAAGTAACAGGTATATTTTATAATGACTTTCACGGCGATAATTTTAGTAACATTGCCTCCTGTCCGTTGTAGTTAGTGCATCCCCTCAGATGTCGTGGTCTTCATAACCCATTCGACCACCAGAATGAGAAAGAGAAGAGGTGAGTGTAGGCTGACTTATCTGACATAGGTCCTCACTTGGAATGAGTCTGTTAGCTGTCCCCCATGCATCACATTACAGTGCAGTCCGTCTCATGAGTTCCATAAGATGTTGATGATTTTCTCAGGTACACCATAGTGTCGAAAAAGCAATCTAATGCACTGCCTCATAGTTAATAAACGCACTCCCAACATCATGAAAGGAACACTTCGGCATTTGCATATGCTTTCTTCCCAGTTTTAGTATGGTAATCATTGCGATCGATCGACCACGCGGCTACACCTGAAGTTGATCACTAAAATTAAACTTGACGGCTTTTTCTGCAATTCAAGGATAAATTCCTTAAACTTCTGCTTGTCCCGGCGAATAATTTTATTGAAATTAGCTCTTCCATGGGATTCGAAACTCGTGCACGTTAAATGGTTTAATAGTAGTTCTTTGAGAGTTGTATGGAGAAATGAAAGACAATTATCTAGGAATGTCAAAGTTTTAATAAACTTTAGGCATCGGATGAATGTAAGGAAATGAGCCAGTTTTATCATTCGATTTCGGCTACACGATCTAATGTTCCTACAGAGGTGTTCGTTATAATTTTGGACAAATGTCAGCTAAATCATGTTGAGATTTGAGTCCACTTTCACCGGTGACCATGTTTCGTAACTCAGTTCACAGGATCCAAGTAATGTGCATCTTGCCATTGGTCAATACACTTGCTCAATTGAATGTAATTGACGTCAGTCAGAATAGAAATCGTTCGAAAATAACGACGGACCGACTGATACTAAGAAGTGCGGTTTTAATTCAGTGAAGATCATCATCATCAACAACTGTGTGATTGTTTCAAATGTGTCGTATAAACCAAGCATTGGTAAATTCTAACTGTAGAATAACAAATCAGCTTTTCACTTCATATCCACTAAGCTTACTGCGTACAAGTGAATATACACCTCTTAAATAAGGTTTACTATAAGCTGTTGGAGAGGAACTATTTGCAAAATGTACAGTGTGATTACTGATGGTTTACATAGATAATTCTCTCCACCTTATTGTCTTGTTATTTGTATCATTTATCAAACGATAATATCTTATTACTCAGACGATGTATGTTGCAATCCATATTTACAATATGTATTTACTGCAACTTAAATGAATGGAAGTATTTATATCCTCAAAATAAGAAAAGTTAACTATCAAGTACAAATCAACAGATTTATATTCATGAAGAATGTATTCTGAATTGGATTCGACAAAACTGTCAGTGTTAATTCCTGTCTTTGCAAAAACTACTGAGTGTATGGAAGCAAATAGGACATTAACATAATGATGTATTACAGCTTTACTCATGGTTTATCACCACTCAATAAAATAATTCTCATTTGTTTAGACTACACGATCAGAGATTTAATTTTGGAATTATGATACATTAATCTGCACCTAGTACATTAAAGCCATCCGTCCTAAGTACAAGTCTTCTCTATTAGTAAATATTGTAAATTATTCCAAAAGCAGTCTCAAATAAACCTTGGAAATAGAAATGGTACATAATCTACATTACTTTTTCGAAAATCACTTTTAGAGATGCACTCAAGGATTACAATCAACGACCTATATAAACAACTTTACTGGTATATGAGTTTTGAGGCTTGTATCCGAAGATAACTCAACTAGAATGAAACAAATATCCAGTGATCTTTGACTGGTAACTACATGCCTACAAGATGGAAAGTTTGAATTACCACGAATATTACGGGTTTCAACCTTTAAGCAATCTTTCTGTTCGCTACTAACAACATCAAAACCCTCTTTTTTAGACACTAACTTAATGGTCTAGAGATATCATCCCTCTGACAAAACCCAAAGGTGGTATTTACGATCCCAGATATCGTTATTAGTGTATACTTGAAAGAAGTCTTTATCCAGAACCAAACAATTATCTAATGATTTCAAATTCGCAATCACTATTCAAATGATGCAAGTATGAGAAGTGAACTAATTTCAAATTAATCTATATTCACATTTAGTTTTGAAAAACAAACACAGAATCTAGGTTAACAGAAAGTATATATCAGTAATATAAAAAAGCCCTTCACCACGTAAGAATTCCATTATATATCCACCACAATGGCATATAATTCTGACATGAACCCTATAAGCAGCTATGGTCTTATGTTTTCTTACGAAGAAAAAATACTGTTATTTCCGCTTCGACTATGCACCAGAAGAAGTAGATTCACTACATAATAAACAGTTCACTTTTATTTATGGCTTCTGGAAAGTTCGCCATTTCATCCATTAATCGGTCGAAATATCAACACTGAATGTCGAACAACCTAAAAGCCAAATTATTTTTAATGAACTGTAAACAAAGGATTTCTACTACAGACTCCAACCATAAATACCATCACTATACTAGAGGAGATTAGCTGAGTTAAAGTTAATTATTGGGAATTTCTATGATGCAAACGACTACAGGAAAATTAACGACTGGGAAGTATAGTATCATTTTCGTTTTGGATGCAAACCGAGTGGATACTAATTTTACCATTAAATCTTATGCATTATATGATATTTCAGTCGAAATCTGTTCAGTATGTTTTGTGAAATGTTTATTTTCTTCTTTCTTTACCAAAACATAAATCAAAGTTTGTATTTATTCAAGATTTTAAAATTATTTTCAGCTTGCGAGGTAGTTTATGCTCAGTACCCTTGTGATATGTTATTGCATGTAAGGACAGTTTACTAGATTTCTTGGATGAGTTGGTTATCGTGAACGGTTATAATGTGAATGTTATTCCCGACACGTTGACCATTTCCTAGTTCGTTTAGTAGGTGAATACTGAATATGAATATAATCTTTAACTAACATTTCATTCCAGGTCCTAACCTTTGATAAATGTATGTCCTTCCATCCAGTATACCGTTACACAAGGAAGTTGTGGACAACTTCAGACAAGTGAAATGAAATCTTTCGTGAAAGTTAAACTTAAATAGTTCCGGGTACAACAAATTTACTGAGTATTGAGGAAGTTGCTGATAACCTAAGCTAGTCTATTTGTAGTGAACAAGAACACGGGTGGGGACAATCGATTGTATTTAGCACAAAGATTACAGACTATCTCAATAAAATGTGAATACCATAAAGTCAATCGTCAATTTGCAAAATATCATTCCATCATATCAAACTGTACTGTTCCCGTTGCAAACACTAATCCATTGTCTCCCATTCCATTGTACATGTGTTTTCTTACAATTCCATTGTGCTCTTGCTCTTCCTTTCTTGATCTTCGCCATCTTCTGCTGCCGGACCTTACGTTTATTTAACGCACGTTATATACTACTTATATGAATATAAGTAGCTCACACCACATATTCATTAACTTTATTTTTCTTGTTGTATGCTCCAAAGGTCATAAACATTTGTTTCCGTAGATTGCAGACTAACATCGAAAATAACTAAAATACCTACAAACCCGTTATAGGATTCACAGCAATAGAAAATATGTTATCTAAACACTGACCGAATCAATATTGATTACATGCACCTGAAGGAATGAGGATAGTTTTCCGATCAACAAGTGAGTCAGAGAAAATTATGACAATGACTTATATTTACAAATGATATAAATCTCTACGTAAAAGAAATTTCATACGACATCCAAATTTTATTTTTCGGAATAAAGTATATGAAAGTAAAATGATAGTAATATTTCAACTAAACAGAAAATCTAATTTTCTACTCATTGGGATATTACAAATATATTACTTATTTATAACAATCTACCAATGCTCAATTTATTTGAAACTATCAAATCAAACCTTGGTAATGATACATATAAACAGTTTTGCATTTAACATTGGTTGCATTTCAATGTGCTTGACAATGAGAAGTGTCGCAAGCCATACATAATGCTTTTTAAGTTACATTTCCATATTTACCATTTAAAAATCCTCGTTATCTCAATAAAGATCTTTCCTTTGTTACTTACTTACGCCTGTTACTCCCAATGGAGCATAGGCCGCTGACCAGCATTCTACAACCCAATCTGACCTGGGCACTCCTTTCTAGATCTATCCAATTGCTGTTCACTCTTTTCGTGTCTGTCTCCATTTCTCGGCGTAATGTGTTCTTTGTTCTTCCTCTTTTCCTTTGGCCTTGAGGATTCCATGTGAGGGCTTGTCTTATGACGCAGTTTTGTGCTTTCCTTAATGTGTGTTCTATCCAATTCCAGCGCTTCTTCCTCCGCTGCGATCTGGTTTGTTCTCTCCCAAAGTACGTTGTTGCTAAAAGTGCCCGGCCAACGGATCTGAAGTATTTTACGTAGACAACTGTTAATAAACACCTGTATCTTCTGGATGACGGCTTTCATAGTTCTCCAAGTTTCCACCCCATACAGTAGAACTGTTTTGACATTTGTATTGAAAATTCTAACCGTGGTGTTGGTTGACAGCTGTTTTGAGTTCCAGATGTTCTTCAGTTGTAGATATGCTGCTCTTGCTTTGCTTATCCGCGCCTTTAAATCTGCATCAGATTCACTGCGTTCATCAATGATGCCGCATGGAGGCCATATCATACGAATTCCGTATGATACTGACTATCTTCTGAGGTACGCCGTAGTATCGAAGAAGTTTCCATATTGTTGTTCTGTCCACGCTATCAAATGCTTTTTCGTAGTCAATGAAGTTGATGCAGAGTGATGAATCCCATTTAATTGATTGTTCCACAATGATTCGTAGAGGTGCGATTTGGTCTGTACACGATCGATCCTTACGGAATCCTGTCTGTTGGTCACGAAGTTGGGCGTCTACGCAGTCCTTCATCCTGTTTAACAATACCCTGCTGAAGACTTTTCCCGGTATTGAGAGATGAGTGATGCCTCTGTAGTTATCACACTTGCTGAGATCGCCTTTCTTCGGTATTTTGACCAGAAGTCCTTCTTTCCAGTCTGTTGGTACTTGGTCCTCATCCCAAATCTTATTGAAGAGAATATGGAGTATCTATGTAGTTACTGCTACGTCTGCTTTCAGAGCCTTTGCTGGAATGTTGTCTGGTCCTGCTGCTTTGCCACTCTTGATTTGTCTGACGGCCATGCTGATTTCTTCAAATGTTGGTGGGCCAACATTGATTGGGAGGTCCGTGGTTTTTGCTCCAATGTTCAGTAGGGCTGGTCAATTCAAGAGTTCTTTGAAGTGTTCTACCCACCTGTTTCGCTGTTCTTCAATGTTGGTGATTACTTTGCCTTCCTTGATTTTCACTGACCGTTCTGGTTTGTGATAATTTCCAGCGAGCTCCTTTGTTGTGTCATACAATTCTCATATTTCCTTCTCTTGCAGCCTTTTCCGCCGCCGTTGCTAAATCTTCCACATATTTGCGTTTGTTGGCTCTGGTGCTCTTCTTCACTTGCTCGTATGCTTCTGTATATTCAGCTTGCACCTTGGCTTTCTCCGCTCTTGCTCGGCTGATATTGATTGCTGCCTTCTTGTTCCTTATTTCTTGAATCTTATCCAGTGTATCAACAATAACCCGTTCCTTGTTGCCCAGAACCGCATGACATGTTGAAGTGATTACCTCCCAGTTGTTCTCCATAGTAGTTCTCTCTCCATTTAGCAGCCCGTGAAAGGCCTGGAACCTATTGCTTAGGGCTATCTTGAATTTGCTGAGTCTGTCATTATCCCAAAAGAAAGGCCGTACTAAACTTTTGTGATGTTGTACGCCCCGTTGTCCAGTTTCAGCTTCATCTTGGTGACCAGAAAGTGACGGTCTGAGGCTATATTAGCTCCTCTCTTGGTTCTTGACATATAGGTCTCCCATCAGAATGGGCATTTCTCAACGATTGACTGCTGCCTATCCTAGAATTGATCTTTAACGTCTTCATTGTGATCGTTGGTAGGCGCATAGCATTGGACGACGTTCAATTTAATGCCCTCTTTCTTTGTTTTGGAGGCTTTGATGCTCCTGGATCCATGACATTCCCATCTTGTAAGTGCTTTTTGCGCTTGTTTGGATAACATCAGTGCAACTTCTTGTGTAAGTGGAGCATTTTATTTTTCATGACCTGAGTATATCGGCAGCTCTCCATAATCTAGTCTTTATTGTCCAACCTGCGTCCAATGTGTTTCACTGATTTCAAGCAGCTTCATTTTGTAACTTTTCATCTCTGCAGCAACTTGGATGACTTTCGTGGTCTCGCACCTTGTACGAACACTACATGTACTTAAATTAATGATTGCCTCGGATGTCAGGACATCAGCCTACTGACTTCCGAAGGAATTCGGCATTCATGAAGGGACGTCAGAACTCTTCTAAATGAAGATCTCCTAACTCCCAGGGCAGAGCTTAACTAATTTGCATTATTTCTTCTAGTTAGCGTTTTAGTTTTCTACAAGATGAGGACGCTATCCCATGGACAGCCCTCCCCCTCATCCGGGATTGAGACCGGCAGAAGCCCCAGAGAGGGTTTTTGTTTTTGTTACTAACGTCGAATCGATTTTCACCCAAGGAACTAGCCGTATAACTCCCGAATCTAAGGTAACTCGACTACAGCTTTCAGTTGAACGATGTGATGTATTACGCCTGACCGTTAATCCATACGATAAACACAGAACATCAACGCTTCTCCAAAACCCCACAGGCAAGTCAGTTAGAAATCAGAATGAACACAGGATTTCGCTTCGTTAGGGTTATACTAATTCGCGTATATCAACATATATCACTGTTTGAATGAAAATAAAACCATAGAGCACGTAACGAGCGAGTCGTCGCTATCCTTCCGATAATCTCATGATCCTCACGAGCAAGTCTGACCTTTCATACATATAAAATTCGTGTCCATATTCATCCAATTGACCATATCGTCCATTTTGGGTGGAATTAGTCAGCTTGCCTGAACCTACTTCCTTATTTTATTCATTGTTTGTCTACTTGGACTATATACACTAAGGCATAAGCCTACTCACTGAACCGGATGGTATGCTAATTTCCCAACTCAGTTTGAATACTTACTCTCGGTCTCGCAATACATTTGTTTGACACACGTGTACAGCAAATGAAATGTCACTGGACCCTCACCAAATCACCCGGCGGTCGTGTTACTAAATGCCTAAAAATTCACCGATCCTCCTCAAGTCCAGAGACAGTCAACACGCATCAGTTGATTACATACAATGGACTGGCCAATGCGGTGATGGTCGCACTTTATTCCTCTACCTACTCTTTCTAATATACTCCTCTAATAACGTCCATTGCGTTACACAGTCTTCAGAGCAGCCATAGTACCGTGGTACGATGAAACGGCAATCCACGTTAAGTGCAACTTCGAAGTTACCCGTCTCGTCACACTACTCCCTCCTTACTCCAGTACGCCCCCAGTTATTCAGCTCAGATCATCTATGTTAGTGATCTACATGATATTCCCAACACTTCGCATCTGACTTTCAATCCCGCGTTGTAAATACCTGATAAGTCCTAGATTATGTAGATTAATCCGTGATACATATGTAGGGAACTAACATATTATTGAGTCAGATGGGCTATCAAAATTGGTGCGCCTAATGTGGTTTTTATCACCTTTTACATACCTTTTATTAAGAATTCTGATATGAACTCAAGCTGGTGTATTTCGCGCGGACCCTATTTATCATGAATCTTTACAGAAGCCTCCGATAACAATTCGCAGGCAGTAAGTACCGTCAAGCTATTTTCTCCTAAAATCTATTGAGTGTTTCACATCTAAGTAGAACGACAATAGTCGCCGTTTGCATGCAGTGTAGTGTTTGGGAGCGGTCAGTGCTTCCAACTTTTTATTCTCTTCATTTAGTACGGCTAAAGGCGTCTGGTCAGTCATAACTGCTAGTACTGCTTATGTGTTTAGCTTGTCCTTTATAGCTTCAAATAACTGCTTAATTCCAGGTGAAGGACGAAGTGTTCATGATCAGTCTTGTAAGTAACCCATCAATACTATAGAATAGTAAAGTTGGTGATGACTCCCAAGAAACCATGTAGCTTTCGAACAGGTCAAACAGCAAGTAGTCGTCGGTACTCTGTACGTCATCTAGGTTCTTTAGTAACTTACATAAAGACCGATGGACCGTCCTAAACTCACTTACTAATTCATGGGAAATCTGTACTCATTCAATCATTCAGTGCTCCAGGTAAGTTAGATGTTGATTCGGTTTTGCTGGCTACAAGTAGGTCATTTACGTCAACTACTCAGCTATTTACAATCTGACAAACGTTTCCAACACTTAGTGTTAACAAATCAGGTTAGCACAGCCAGATAAAATTATCGAGAAAAATCCCAGAGTAGAAGGGGTAGTAACAGTTTCAGTATCAAGCAAGAAACAGAAAAAAGTGATATAGAGAACTTGGGTTCGAAGTGACAGGTAGCAAATGTAACTGTGCCACTAGAAACGACCCTAGGATCATTCAAAGCCACTAATGAAAGCCCTCGGACACCAGACCTGTCACTAACCACAAAACGCAAAAGATACTCCTCAACACACACAAAGACTCCTGGAAATCGATCGAATTTCAGTTTACCACCACACAGCTATCCATCGTGGCATTACAAGAACTGCCGTCACTACTAAGCATTCTTAGAGTTAGGTGGCTTTGAGTCAGAAAATAAACTTATTCTACGTTCGACTCTTACGGTTGAATGAATTTGCACTAGCAACACTAAATGTCATCAGTAAACTATGGTACACGGTTTTACATAATAACTCATGAGAAACTTACACCAAAGAACCGTAACTCCCATCAGTAAGTACAAAATAACGGTAAACAATCAGAAAATTGACATAGATCTTGTATGACATGAGGGCTATAATAAATATTACAGAACAGAGTTTAGCCGTCATTTTCAACATCTCCCTCAGCTGTTTGGTCACTGGCCCACAACTAATTAGTCATATTAGAAAAATTAATAGAAATCTTACCGTCAAATTGTCTCTTAGAAGCTGCATAATTAGTGTGCTGTCTTTGTAGGAATCATCTTGAAGCTGATCTAGTTCCGCTATTGCTGAATCGAAGGCGCATTTAGCTAAATCGCACGCCTTAGCAGAATTATTTTGTATTTCATAATAAAACACAGAGAAGTTAAGAGCTAAACCAAGACGGATAGGATGAGTGGTAGGCAAATTTTCGGCAGCCGTAGTAGCTTTCGTGTAGGCATCCAATGATTTCTGTACCACTTCTGTTCGAGCATCATCAGTGGCAACCTCAGCGAGATACCGGTAGTAGTCACCTTGCATTTTCAAAAAGAAAACTTTGCTGTCATCGGGACTTGCATTTGGAAGCAGATAATCCTCAAGTAGAGCCTAGAAACATCGTTACCACTTCGCGTCCAACTTACCAAAACTTGATTACAGATAGTGTTCAACTCCTTTTCCATTTTAATACGGTACTCTTCTGCTATTTGTTTCTTGGTACAATCATTTACCGCTTTCATCTCACTTCCATGTATCACTCTCCATGCTGATCTTCTAGCACCCACAACATTTTTATATGCCACCGAAAGTAAATTCCGTTCTTCGTTCCCTAAATTCCCCGAAGCCTCGGTATACCGCTTCATAGCTGCCGCCATGTCATCATATCGTTCAGCCTGCTCAGCAAGTTTGGCGATATGAACCAAATCAGTGTTAGATAAGTCCTTGCACTGTAAAACCCACGACGTAGTCATGACAGTACAGTACCACAACAGAGTGCTTGTGAAAACTAGTCAAACTGGCGCGTAAACTTAACTAATATATAGATAGGTTGTAAAACTAGTTCCACTCCTCAAAGTCAAATCTCAAACTAATGACCAAAGATTTTAATAATAATTATTTTTGATTTTGGTCATCTTACAGAATTTTTAACTGTTTTGATGAAATTCAGTTTTATTTCGAGGTTATTGATTATTTGTCGACATAAACAATATTTGATCATAAATTTATCGATCTTTCTCGGTATGATCAAATTAAGTTCTGGCTTTTGATTTTCTTTCTTTACCTTTGGTCAACTCTCCATCAACTAGCCAGCTGATCAACTAACCACATATCCTGCCCTTAACCAAACACAGGCCTTCACTATCTCTCTTATGCGTAGAATGGCACTACCAGCAATACACGGTTCCCTATACTTCATTGATGTCTATAAATGTATTAAAGTATTCGGTACATTTTATCAAGACTATTCCTTCATCTGTGTATTTAGCCCAGATGTCATTGAAAACCTCATTATACAAATGACTGTACAACAGGTACATTTCTCAATTTGCGTCAAGTTACCTGGTTCAATTTCTTGTTACTTTTCAGTACTCATATATCTGTAGCAAATTTCTTTCTGTGTAGGTTAATTTTAAGAAAATAACCACGAACAGTGAGTATATTTTCACAGAGTGTATGAGTCAATGGAGATAAAATGAATTCCGTATAATAAAGTGCATGTTATGCCTTAAGGAACCCACGATGCCATAAAACAAGTTGAACAACGAAATCAATCTACATAGTTGAGTATACGAAAAAAAATGTATACCCTCTTACATTTATATCAGCTTATCTAAAGACCAATGACTTCACAACTCCATCCTAATGGGCAGTTCACAACTATTTATAAATCCAGCTTCAAGGAACACATGGTCCAACACCAGAAATAAAGTTTTGTAAGTATAAATCTCGCAGTCAACTGTTCTTACAAGACGTAATATTTTATCCAGTTACACTGCATATTCATTAAATATTCCCACTAAAACAAGTTGAGTGAAGATGTATTTATATACACATGCATTATTAGTGAGTAGAAAGTCGATACCTTAATAGGTGGCGGTAAGTCGATTTATTACAAGTAGTTACATAAGAGTAGCAGCAGGAATTAAAATTGGATGTAAATATAAATGTTTTCGTTATCTGTGAAATTAGTGATGACTAATTAGAAGGACAGGTGCAGTAAAAAGTAAGTAAGTTTGGTAAACAGGTTACGTAAGATTAAAATCAGAAGTCCAAATGTTAACAAGATAGAAGTTCGGAACTTTCCAAGAGAAGAGAAAGAAAGGTCTTAAAATGAGTATTAGTATTTAAGTAGAAAGCCAGGGTAGAATTAAAGACTGAATAATTTTTTCCTGTATACAAAGCTTAGGTTTTTTTGATGTATATTCCTATGGTCATTCCTATGTCCTCTGTTATATTTATGTACACGCACCCCCACGAGGATTGAATTGTGGAGTCGTCTATGGACGGTAGCTGACAGATGCAACACAAGTGAAGACCGTTGCCACACAACTCCGCCTACTCTCCTTTTTTTCACTTTGTTAACTGATGACTGGATTATGAAGACCTCCAGAGTTCAAGAAAGTATTGAGTATAACGTATAGTGATGTGAAGAAAGAAACAAGGAAAGAATAAAAAACAGCGTAAACCATCAGTTGGAATATCATCTCGTTTGATTCGATCATTCAACAATGATTCTCGTGGTCTCAAGTTGGTTGATATCTGAATGATTCATACGAAAGCCATATTCTTAGTTTCCGATGTATGAAACTACTGTATATTTCATTCGGCTTAGCAACATCCTGTTGAAAACTTTATCTGAAACCAACAGTAGTCTGATCCCTCTGTAGTTGTTACATTTACTAAGGTCATTGTTTGGGATCTTAATGAGATTTTCCTCTTTCCATTGATATTGATATCCAGGTTGTATACAACTAGACAAGTTGGACTTCACAGATAAACTGGCTCTTCTATCACATACACACAAACAAATGCAGATCAAGACAAACAATATAGCAGCAGTCTCTACATCAATAGGCATCAACATACACAACCGAAAAACAAAGATACTCAACTAAAACACTGAGAGCACCACCACAATCACACTTCATGCAGAAAATCTGGATCGGTTGCGATCTTTCACATTAACCACCTACCTACCTACCTACCAAGGTAGGTAGCTAGCATCATCGATGAATGAGGAGGATCCGGTGAAGAAGTATGGGTTAGGATTGGCAAAGTAAGGACAACATGCCTTTTGTTGAATAATATATGGAACTCAAATCAACTGTATTCAAGTCAACATCAAAATCACAATCTTCAATACGAACGTCAACACACTTCTACTATATGCAGATGAAACTTCGAGAACTACCACAATCATCATGGAATTAGTACAAGTATTTATAAACAATTGTCTACACAAGATACTCAACGTCTGTTGACCGGATACCATGAGCAACACAGTGTACTGTGGGAGAGGACAAAGCAGTTTTTGTGTGAAGTGGAAATTAGGGAGGAGCTGTTGGAAGTGGTGGATGGTAGATACATTGAGGAAATCAACAAATTGTATCACGAGGCAAGCACTAATTCGGAATCCTGAAGGGAAATGGGAAAGAGGAAGGCTGAACAACACACTGCATCGATAATTGTAAGGAGAAATGAGAAGGATGAATAGGAACTGGGACGAACTCTAAATGGTTGTGCATGACCTAGTTGTATGGAGAAAGCTGGTGTTCGGCCTATGCTCCTTCACAGGTGGTAACAGGTGTTATTAAGTAATACTGAAGAGTTAACAACGATCACCGTAAAATAATACTAATAATGCTGAATTGCCTACGTCTGATTTCATTAACTGACGTGGAGAGGGTAACAAACTCAATCACTGGTATTTGTAATGCAACTAATCAACCAACCAGTTCGCATGAGTAATTTTTTACAATAAAAAAAACCTATATATTAGATTTTAAATGGAGCACAAATTTAATCGGATTTTTTTGCCTCTTAGATATTCATGAATTAAACAAGTAAAATAGATGATTTTATCTTCATTCACCACAAAATACCTAGGATAAATAATATATTTTAACGTTTGCATTCATGAGTCGATCAAAGCTAGACCACCATTGAAAACCTGGATTCACTGAACGGTCCTTTCGTCCTAGTTAGACATTAACACCGCTGGATGCCGGCTCAGTTGTTTAGAGGTTAAGCACTCACGCGCGAGACCGAAGGTCCTGTATTCATCTCCTGTGTGTGGGATCGTGTTTGCACACTTCTGAGAAGTCCAATACTATGGCAAAACGACCGTCCAGTGCTTCCAGATTTTCAATTCTGGTCTATCTTAGATCGATTGATAAATTCAACTGTTGAAATTATTACGATCTCTTCAAAACCTCATTCTGATAAATAATATGTTTCTCGTTGTTTTTTACCCGATACACTGTAAATAAGTTTGTTTACATGTACTAAGCCAGCAGATTAAGAGACTATGTACTAACGCGAAATCAGAAGTTGAAGACATTTTACACTCTAATAAATCCCAATAAATCAAACTCCAAACTTTATGCATATTACTTCAACTATGCCAATGTGATAGATTATTTACTCTGGTTTGTTTGTTTGTTTTTTCAAACGTCTTTCCTAAAAACCATGACAAAATATGACAGTACTAGTTCTTTATTACAAAATAAGGTTTCAAACCCATTCAGAGATGGCATAATGAGATCCAACTCCGATAGACCATATAATGATTAAAAAGGAGCCTCTTTCATAAGAATTCATTTATCGAACCAAGGAACTGTCACAAAATGATAAATTATGTGCAGCTAACTAATCAACTTTTATTGCAGCTGAAGCAACAAGTGGTCAGATTATTGGGTAGTCTCAATATTATCAATGACCTCATACATTTGCAAAGAATACACAGTAGATATGTCTCCATGGACTACGACAGTGATTTAAAACCTAGGTTCCTTCTCAGTCACTAGTCATATCATTACTGCGCCTCCCACACTGATTATGCATATTTATGTGTATCGCGCCAGAATTAGCATATGTCAGTAGAAAATATTCAAATTTCATCCGTCTGTCTCTGGCTGTTCTTGTACATTAGTCATCAGTTAAGTAGGTTCAAGATAATTACATGTACATCGTCGAAACAGGATTCCGTCACCAACCGTATTTGGCCGGAAGCTTGAAATTCATCGTACATTGAGCATTTACTCCTTTACTGATGAATAACTCCTAAAAGAATATTTGTTACCAAAAAACTATTAGGATTTGTAGAGATGATGATTGCTCAAGACTTAAGTCGATGAACTGAAACAAAAATCGGTAATCACAAAACTATGATTTAAAAAGGACGAATTACTTCAAACAGACAATAAACAGAATAATATTGCCCTGGAAACCACATATCCTGCTGATTGGTTGATCTCAATGTACAAGGAATACCACTCAGTACCGCATTCCGTGCGATATGCCACCTCAAGCTCAATGTATTAAAGCGTACAACTCTGACACTTTCGTCATTACAAAATAAGCTAACGTTTACAAAACCCACTTGAATATATTCTAAGTTATCGGAAACACATTTCTACAATTATAGTTGATGGCTGAAAATTTTCGGACAGTATTATTATGATAAATAAACTGACAAATTTAGAAATCTCCCAGTTCTCACTCAGATGTCATACACACCCGCTTATGTTTCGGGAAGTCGTTTATGAATGTAAACCTCAATAAACATCGACATCAAACTATCTGCTAATTAAATTGGTAATTTCATTTGTGCGGCATTTTCACGTTGTGATCAGAGACCATAATAGCAGTTTACACAAATGGAGTAAGATGAAATGAAGGCACTTATCTACCATTTGAATGACAAGGGACTCGAAGTATCTGATTTTTAACAATTCGACAAACTACTGACCAAAATTAACTAAATACACAAGGCAGGAAAGTAATTTAGATAAACTAAGAATTCCAATAAAAGGATTTCATTGAAATCACTGACAATAATTCAATATCATGAGGTGTTTGGCTGTGTATCGCCACCTACGTAGCTTCACTTAAACTGACGAGTATAGGAATAATTGATAAACTGATTAA